ACTTTGGGCAGTATAGCCATTTTCACGATATTAATTCTTCCTAACCATGAACATGGAATGTTTCTCCATCTGTTTGTGTCCTCTCTGATTTTGTTGAGCAGTGGTTTGTAGTTCTCCTTGAAGAGGTCTCTTACGTTCCTTGTGAGTTGTATTCCAAGGTATTTTATTCTTTTTGTAGCAATTGCGAATGGCAGTTCGCTCTTGATTTGGCTTTCTTTAAGTCTGTTATTGGTGTAGACGAATGCTTGTGATTTTTGCACATTGATTTTATATCCTGAGACTTTGCTAAAGTTGCTTATCAGTTTCAGGAGTTTTTGGGCTGAGGCAATGGGGTCTTCTAGGTACACTATCATGTCGTCTGCAAATAGAGACAATTTGGCTTCCACCTTTCCTATTTGAATACCCTTTATTTCTTTTTCTTGCCTGATTGCTCTGGCTAGAACTTCCAGTACTATATTGAATAGGAGTGGTGAAAGAGGGCATCCTTGTCTAGTGCCATATTTCAAAGGGAATGCTTCCAGTTTTTGCCCATTCAGTATGATATTGGCTGTTGGTTTGTCATAAATAGCTTTTATTACTTTGAGATACGTTCCATCGATACCGAGTTTATTGAGGGTTTTTAGCATCAAGGGCTGTTGAATTTTGTCAAATGCCTTCTCTGCGTCAATTGAGATAATCATGTGGTTTTTGTTTTTGGTTCTGTTTATGTGGTGAATTGTGTTTATAGACTTGCGTATGTTGAACCAGCCTTGCATCCCCGGGATGAATCATACTTGATCATGATGAATAAGTTTTTTGATTTGCTGTTGCAATCGGCTTGCCAATATTTTATTGAAGATTTTTGCATCTATGTTCATCATGGATATTGGCCTGAAGTTTTCTTTTCTCGTTGGGTCTCTGCCGGGTTTTGGTATCAGAATGATGTTGGTCTCATAAAATGATTTGGGAAGGATTCCCTCTTTTTGGATTGTTTGAAATAGTTTTAGAAGAAATGGTGCCAGCTCTTCCTTGTGTGTCTGGTAGAATTCGGCTGTGAACCCGTCTGGACCTGGGCTTTTTTTGTGTGGTAGGCTCTTAATTGCTGCCTCAACTTCAGACCTTGTTATTGGTCTATTCATAGTTTCAGCTTCCTCCTGGTTTAGGCTTGGGAGGACACAGGAATCCAGGAATTTGTCCATTTCTTCCAGGTTTACTAGTTTATGCGCATAGAGTTGTTTGTAATATTCTCTGATGATGGTTTGAATTTCTGTGGAATCTGTGGTGATTTCCCCTTTATCATTTTTTATTGCATCTATTTGGTTGTTCTCTCTTTTCTTTTTAATCAATCTGGCTAGTGGTCTGTCTATTTTGTTGATCTTTTCAAAAAACCAGCTCTTGGATTTATTGATTTTTTGAAGGGTTTTTCGTGTCTCAATCTCCTTCAGCTCAGCTCTGATCTTAGTTATTTCTTGTCTTCTGCTGGGTTTTGAGTTTTTTTGATCTTGCTCCTGTAGCTCTTTCAATTTTGACGATAGGGTGTCAATTTTGTATCTCTCCATTCTCCTCATATGTGCACTTATTGCTATATACTTTCCTCTAGAGACTGCTTTAAATGTGTCCCAGAGGTTCTGGCACGTTGTGTCTTCGTTCTCATTGGTTTCGAAGAACTTCTTTATTTCTGCCTTCATTTCGTTGTTTACCCAGTCAACATTCAAGAGCCAGTTGTTCAGTTTACATGAAGCTGTGCGGTTCTGGGTCTGTTTCTGAATTCTGAGTTCTAACTTGATTGCACTATGGTCTGAGAGGCTGTTTGTTATGATTTCAGTTGTTTTGCATTTGTTGAGCAGTGCTTTACTTCCAATTATGTGGTCAATTTTAGAGTAGGTGTGATGTGGTGCTGAGAAGAATGTGTATTCTGTGGATTTGGGGTGGAGAGTTCTGTAAATGTCTATCAGGTTTGCTTGCTCCAGGTCTGAGTTCAAGCCCTTGATATCCTTGTTGATTTTTTGTCTGGTAGATCTGTCTAGTATTGACAGTGGAGTGTTAAAGTCTCCCACTATTATTGTGTGGGAGTCTAAGTCCTTTTGTAAGTCCTTAAGAACTTGCCTTATGTATCTGGGTGCTCCTGCATTGGGTCCATATATGTTTAGGATCGTTAGCTCTTCTTGTTGTATCGATCCTTTTACCATTATGTAATGGCCTTCTTTGTCTCTTTTGATCTTTGTTGCTTTAAAGTCTATTTTATCTGAGATGAGAATTGCAACTCCTGCTTTTTTTTGCTTTCCATTTGCTTGGTAAATCTTCCTCCATCCCTTTATTTTGAGCCTTTTTGGATCTTTGCATGTGAGATGGGTTTCCTGGATACAGCACACTGGTGGGTTTTGGATTTTTATCCAATTTGCCAGTCTGTGTCTTTTGATTGGTGCATTTAGTCCATTTACATTTAGGGTTAATATTGTTATGTGTGAATTTGATACTGCCATTTTGATGCTAAGTGGCTGTTTTGCCTGTTAGTTGTTGTAGATTCTTCATTATGTTGATGCTCTTTAGCATTCAGTGTGATTTTGGAATGGCTGGTACTGGTTGATCCTTTCTATGTGTAGTGCCTCTTTTAGGAGCTCTTGTAAAGCAGGCCTGGTGGTGACAAAATCTCTGAGTACTTGCTTGTTTGCAAAGGATTTTATTTTTCCTTCACTTCTGAAGCTCAGTTTGGCTGGATATGAAATTCTGGGTTGAAAGTTCTTTTCTTTAAGAATGTTGAATATTGGCCTTCACTCTCTTCTGGCTTGTAGTGTTTCTGCCGAGAGATCTGCTGTGAGTCTGATGGGCTTCCCTTTGTGGGTGACCCGACCTTTCTCTCTGGCTGCCCTTAGTATTCTCTCCTTTATTTCAACCCTATTGAATCTGACGATTATGTGCCTTGGGGTTGCTCTTCTTGTGGAATATCTTTGCAGTGTTCTCTGAATTTCCTGCAATTGAGTGTTGGCCTGTCTTGCTAGGTGGGGGAAATTTTCCTGGATGATGTCCTGAAGTGTATTTTCCAGCTTGGATTCATTCTCTTCGTCCCCTTCTGGTACACCTATCAAACGTAAGTTAGGTCTTTTCACATAGTCCCACATTTCTTGGAGACTTTGTTCATTCCTTTTTGCGTTTTTTTCTCTAATCTTGGTTTCTCGTTTTATTTCATTGAGTTGGTCTTCAACTTCAGATATTCTTTCTTCTGCTTGGTCAATTCGGCTATTGAAACTTGTGCATGCTTCGCGAAGTTCTCGTATTGTGTTTCTCAGCTCCTTTAATTCATTCATATTCCTCTCTAAGTTATCCATTCTTGTTATCATTTCCTCAAATCTTTTTTCAAATCTTTTCTCAAGGTTCTTAGTTTCTTTGCATTGATTTAATACATGATCTTTTAGCTCACCAAAGTTTCTCATTATCCATCTTCTGAAGTCTAATTCCGTCATTTCCTCGCAGTCATTCTCCGTCCAGCTTTGTTCCCTTGCTGGTGAGGAGTTTTGGTCCTTTCTAGGAGGCGAGGTGTTCTGGTTTCGGGTGTTTTCCTCCTTTTTGCGCTGGTTTCTTCCCATCTTTGTGGATTTGTCCGCTGGTCGTCTGCGTAGTTGCTGGCTTTTCGATTGGGTCTCTGAGTGGACACCCTGAATGTTGATGATGAAGTATTTCTGTTGCTTGGTTTTCCTTCTACCAGTCTAGCCCCTTCGCTGTACGACTGCTGAGGTCCACTCCAGACCCTGCTTGTCTGGGGTGCACCTCTAGCAGCTGTGGCACAGCGAGGGATGCTACCAGTTTCTTTTTCTGCTATCTTTGTCCCAGGATGGTGCCTGCCTAATGTCAGTCTTTTGGATATAGGGGGGTCAGGGAGCTGCTTGAGGAGACAGTTTGTACTTTATAGGGGTTTAATTGCTGAACTCTGAGCTGTGTTGTTCATTCAGGGCTGTTAGGCTGCTATGTTTGATTCTGCTGCAACAGAGCTCATTAAAAAAACCCTTTTTTTCCCCCAAATGCTCTGTGTTGAGGGGTTTGGGCTTTATTTTTGGATATCCGTTGAGGTCCTGCCCAGCTAGGTTGCAGACTAGCCACTGTTTGCCTGCCGAGGCTCCGCCCTGCTGTTGTGAGGCTCGCCCTGGCTCCGCTGTTCTGCTGTTCTCCACCACGCCCTGCGGCGGAGTCTCTCTGTTGTAGCGTGTTGCCTCGGCAACGGCTGGCTGCGTCAGCAGTGGGCGTGTATCTCAGTATGGACGGGTTGCCTCGGCAATGGCTGGCTGCGTCAGCAATGGGCGTGTATCTCAGTTGGGGCGGGTTGTCTCGGTAATGGTGGCCGCCCCTCCCCCTCAGAGCGTCTCGGGCCATCTGCACGGGGCTTGTTTGAAATCGCGGTTTTGTTCGTCCCACTGGGCCAATCCTAACGCTCTGTTCCTGCAATCCCCTGGGCTGGCCCACTGTCCAAGTCTAGCTCAGTCTCAAGTCCAGCCCTCTCTCGTCTCCGGTTGCTGGTTCAACGGGGCACCCGGACAAGTGCGCCCTGTGGGGAGCGCTGGGTAGGGCCGGCCGCCGCCACCCCGGCTGCCGGATTCACCAGGCGGAATATCTGCCTGGCATCCCACGTCTCCTCTTCACTTGGGAATTTCCCCGTTCCGTGGGCAACAAAGATCAATCTGGAAATGCAGCTCAGACTCACCTCTCCGCAGACACAACGAGAACTCCAATCAACAAAGTTAAATTTTAAACCCTCTTGCCAACTGATTTTTTAACTTTTATTATTCAGTGAATACTAAATAATTTCTTCCCTTCATTGTTAAAACTTTTTGTTTTTCTCTTGTTGGTCTGTCTTTTGTTACATAGACTCCCAGTTAAGAACTGTGAAGGACAGAGATAAAATTATTTTTCCTCCTCTACAGTTCCTTTAAATATGGTATTGTTTAATTTTCTACCTATGATTTATTTTTATGTCTATCTTAGATATTTACAGGTTGCCTTTATAGAAGGCCTCTGGATTAGGCATGCCATGGGATATAAGCAAAACAGAGAAAGACACAGAAGTCAATTGGAATCAAACTACCCTGGAAGAAGAACTCTCTAAGAGCAGTACTGCTCAAGAGAACTTTGTGATGATGTAACTGTCTTGTCTGTGCTAACATGTCCAACATGATAGCAACTTACTGTGTGTAGCTATTGAGCACTTGATATATGACTAATGAGATTGAGGAACTGAATTTTTATTTAATAGACACCTGTGGCTATAAAATTGGACAGTGTAGTTCTGGAACAGCAATTAATGTCTGGATATAAGAAATGTTTGAGTTCCTATAATGAATACATTAACTGAGGAGATGTAAGCTAGTCATGGCTGAGCTTGTTAGCTCAGGTGAGGTCAGTGTTTTTCAGAAAGAATTAGTGATATATATATTTTTACCTTTTCATTAGTAGACAACTTTGTTGCTGAATAATTGTGATACAAAATATAAATTTTAATATTGAAACAAAATAGAATTGCATTCCTGCTTTTTACAGGTTATAACAGTAGCCACCAAAATCTCAAAGTACATCCATGTCTTTTTTTAGTTATTTATCCTGATTGAAGAGATCTGATAGAGAGGAGGAGGAAAGAAAGGAAGGATGGACAGTTGGATGGATGAGAAAACAATGTAATATGTTTTATTCTAAATAACACAGGAGTGGTACATTGTTTTTCTCAAATACCTAAGTAGATTTGATGTTATCTAAGATTTTTTCCAGCTCTAACTTTGTGATGCTAAATTGTAAGAATGCTGAGCAGAAGGAAATCTCAGAGTGGAACAGATTAATTTAGGATTTGGAATTTATTATTTGACTTGTATTGTATGATCTCAGTATCACAGGTCATATCAATGAGTACTTCAATTTTGCTAAGTAATTTTATTTCATTTAATGTAGAGTCTTGATTAAAAGAAAGCTCTGATAAATACCCTCTACAGTGTGGTATTTTCCTGGTTACTCTAATAACATTTTTAAGCATGATAATCATGCCTTTTAATCATTCAGATAGAAACATACTACTTAAGGAAGCAGCATGTTTAGAGAATAGGTGAGAAATAAATACAAACATAAGGTAATTTATGTGTCTCCCCAATTACAGCTCTGTTTAGCACTGATGAGCAAAAGGAGCAACTTGAAGGCTCAGTCTACTGTTCTTCATTCTTTCATTCTGTATCCCTAAAGGCCTGTCATTGGCATTGTGAGGTAATCCTATTCTCATTGGTTCGCTGTGTTGGTAGTATCAGTTCTTCCAGACTAAGTCAGGATACTAACTTTTTAAGTGTAATGCTCTGTTGATTTTGTCAGTCTATTGCTCTGTTCAGCTTATACCTTTACAGAGTGTTCAGAGCTCTCACACCTGTGTAGCCTTAAGTATTTTGCTCTGCTTTTGGTATGAAATAAATGTTTGATGAATTCTTCCCTGCTCGACAGATTGAGTGATTGATGTTTTTCCCGATACTCTTAGACAGCTACTTTTACTTGGTGGCCCATTTCTCAGATAATTTGCCTGAGTACTCTGAGCACTATCTCAAAGAGAAGGACACCCATTTGGAACTGTGTGGCACCCTAATGTCAATTTTTTGTTTTTAAAGTAAGGGATCACATTAATCAAAGCCAGAAATTAGGTGTTTCAGTTATCAAGACATCACACCCCAGGTGTGGTGATTGACAAGAAAGACTCACAAGACTCAGCATATAGTCTTACTCACTGTGAAGGTTTATTTTATTGTATATTATTTAATTTTATATTTTATTTTATAATTTATGAGACAGAGTCTCACTTTGTCACCCAGGCTGGAGTGCAGTGGTGCAGTGTCAGCTCGCTATAACCTCCACCTTCCAGTTTGAAGAGATTCTTTCTTATACCTTAGCCTTTCAAGTAGCTAGAATTACAGATGTGTGTCCCCATGCCTGGCTAATTTTTGTATTTTAGTAGAGATGGGGTTTCACCATGTTGCCCAGACTGGCCTCCAACTCCAGGCCTCCAGTGATCAGCCTGCCTCAGCCTCCAGAAGTGCTGGGATTACAGGCATCAGCCACCACACCTGGCCAAGATTTATTACTATGAAAGGAATAAAAGGAAAAGGTAATGTCTGGAAGAAAGCACATGTGATCTTATAAGACTCATCTCTAAATGGAATCACATTGAATATGCTTTGTTCTTCCAGCAATGAATTGTGACAGCTCCTGTGAAATGTAATCTACCAGGGAGACTCACTAGAGACTCAAAATCTCAAGTTTCTATTGGGGACTGACTGGTCATATAGGCACTCTGTCTACCATGTATCAATTTCCAGAAACCCAGGAGTAAAGCAGATGTTCAGCATGAACCACATTGTTTGTATAAACCGGTTAGGTATAGTAAGGTATTAGTATCAGTTAGGGAATTGTGGAAACAGTTCAGAAATTGGTTTTCATATTGTCAGCCAAGGACCAACTATGTAAGCAGGACTTTGTAAGGGTAGCAGGCTCAGGCCAGCCATGGTAACTCTTTTCTGCTCATGAGAAATGTCTCAGTCACCATTTAGACTTGGAACTTTTAACATATTTTTAACTTTATGTCTAGTCTCTTTACTAACTTCTTTTGGTGAACATTATTATCATTAGGAGATCAATAGAAATATGGTATACAGTATGCCTATTCCTTCACCTCACGTGGCCATATTTATTTCTTGTACGCGAGAGCACCAAATCATCTTTCCTCTTTCTCCTTGCCACATTTTCTTCTTTTGGCATTTGCTTTGCCCAGTACTTCAAGATTGTATTCCTATAGTTGCATCTGAGATTTTTAATGACAAATTAATTTTTTCTTTAAAGCTGCAGACTAGTATTGCCTTGAAAGAGCATTATGTGAACTGAGCATGGTGGCTCATGTGTATATTCTCAGCACTTTGGAAGCCTGAAGCCAGTTCAAGACTAGCTTGGGCAACGTAGCAAGACCCCATCTCTAAAAATATTTGAAAATAGCTGTGGTGTACACCTGTATTCCCAGCTACTTGGGAAGCTGAAGTGGGAGGATCAATTAAGCCTAGGAGTTCAAAGCTACAGTGAGCTATGATTGTACCATTGTACCACTCCAGCCTGGGCAACAGAGTGAGACCCTGTCTCTAAATACAATAAAATTTAAAAATACAATGAATAAAAAGAAAGATTATATGAATACCTATTGATGTGCCTCCTAAGACTTAGAAATCTCAAAGTTGAACCTCTAGTACCTCAGAGAAGGATTTGTATTTATTATTAGATATAAACTGTAAGGATTATATGGGCAGACTGAGAAGTAAATTTAACCATTAAATCTAGTCTAAATCAGTGTCAACTCATACTTCTGAGTAATTTAAGAATAAAGGAACTTTATTCTGCAGGTAGGGTCATAGTGAAAAGCATTTTGATGAAGATGATAGGAAAGAGACATGGAAATGATATGATTGTGGGAGTCCACAGAATAGGAAGTAAATGATGCTGCCATAAAAACAGAATAAAGGCTGGTATAGAAATAAGAGATTATATTAATAGGAACTCCAATATGTAATATTGGTATCAAGTAGGAAGATCCAGCTATCAATCCCAAGTGAGGATTCCCACCACATGGAGATTGGTAGCAGTGCCCATTACCAGAAATGAGAGATCATAGACCTCAGCCCACTGCATCTTCTGTGGGTTCAGAATCACCAAGGAAGACTCAACCCACAAGTCACTGATTGGAACAATACTTTACTCAAACAAAGGAGAAGAGACTCAGCAAGATCACTATCTACAGTGTATACCAGTGCTATTGTCTGATGTGTTCCCCCATATTCATGTGTTGGAAACTTAATCCCCAATGAAACATTATTGAGAGCTGGGGCCTAATGGGAGGTATTATATTTAAGTCATGAGGGCCTCACCCTCATGAACAGAGTAATGCTATTATAAAAAGAACTTGCAGGAGTGGGTTCCCTTGTTGCTTTTCTGCATTCTGCCATGTGAAAACACAGCATTCCTCCTTTCCAATGGAGGCAGTGTTGAAAGTGCTATCTTAGAAGCAGAGAGCAGCCCTCACCAAAAACTGGCATCTTGATCTTGGATTTCTTCATCTTCTGAACTACAAGAAATAAATTTTTTTATAAGTTATTCAATCTGTAGCATTGTTATTGCAGCATACATGCACTAAGACAGCTGGTCTCTCCTGGCCAATGAGTTCCTTCTTCAGCCAGTGTGGGGCAATAGATTACATGCACCCTTCTCATGCTGCAGGTGAAGACCTAGTTCCCTTCCCACAGGGGACAGATATATTGGTGGGGCTGGTCAGGGTCCACATGATGTTTTTCTTGATAAGAAAGGAGAATTTGAGGCCATGCAACAGCTCAGCTTCTGTATAGAGAATGTTCCTGGCCCAGTTTACTGGTTGAGTAATCCCAGAGAGCATTGGCAGATTACATGATGGCTGCTTCCACAACAATTGGGCATATGCTAGAAGACTCACTGTTATACCTTTAGAATATCTGGTGATGTTTTGATGGGCCTAAGTGAAGTGAAAGGAAGTAACGAGAAGTACCGCTATTCTGGAGTTAATTCCAACTGATATGGTTTGGTTCTATGTTCCCACCCAAATTTCATCTTATAGCTCCCATAATTTCCATGTGTTGTGGGAGGTACCCAGTAAGAGATGACTGAATTATGAGGGTTTGTCTTTCTTGTGTTGTTCTCCTGGTAGCGAATAAATCTCACAAGATTTGACTGTATCATAAGGGAGAGTTCTCCTGCCCAAGCTCTTTATGCTTGCCGCCATCCATGTAAGATGGGACTTGCTCCTCCTTGCTTTCCACCATGATTTGTGAGACCTCCCCATCTAAATGGAACTGTGAGTCCAATTAAACCTCTTTCTTTTGTGAATGGCCCAGTCTTGGGTATGTCTTTATCAGCAACGCAAAAACATACCAACTAACAAGGAAACTTTAATTGGTGAGGAGCAAGTGACAGGAACTTTTAGAGATGGAGTTTATTTTAGAATTCGTATTAGTAAAATAATGCCTGGGAATAGTGTTTGTTCCCATCAGCAAGAGAAAAATTCATGATTTATGGGACATTGGGTAGAATATTCCAGTTAGATTTTTGTCTTAGTCATGGAAAATAAATAGTTCTAGACTGAGCACCTCTCCATACCCATCCAACAAATCAGAAAAGATAGATCTAAAAAAAAAAAAAAAAAATCAAGCTGTTTCCAAGTAACTAAACTGTCACAGAATAAACCTCAGCTATATAGAAATATAAAAATATACAATACCCAAGAAGATAATTCAAACTAGGCATGCAGAGAAGTACTAAAATGCAGCCCCCATATAGGAGAATAATCAAATTGACACATGATAAAATTAACAGTCAAGGATCATTAAACTGTTATTATACCTACATCCCATTGGTTTATAAAGAAATAGTACCATAGAGATACCAAAAAGACACAAATTGAACTCTGTTTTTTGAGATGAGGTCTTGTTCAGTCACCCAGGCTGAAGTGCAGTAGTATGAACATGGCTCGCTGCAGCCTCTTCCTCCTAGGCTCAAAGGATTCTCCTGCCTCAGCCTCCCAAGTAACTGGGACTCCTGATGCACACCATGCATGACACCTGGCTAATTGTTGGATTTTTTTTTTTTTTTTAAGTAGAGATTGAATCTTACTTTGTTGCCCAGGCTGGTCCTGAACTCCAGGGCTCAAGTGATCAACCTCAGCCTCCAGAAGTGCTGGCATTATAGGCATGAGCCACCACACCCAGCAGACTGAACTTTTGGGTATGAAAACTATTAAGTCTAATATGAAAAACACACTATATTGTATTAATGGGAGATTAGACATTGCAGAAGAAAAATGAATTTGAGATAGCAGTTAGACAGGAAACAGTAATTAAACTAAAATCATTGAGTAGTGGGACAAATTTAAGTGATCTAATTTATATAACTGGAGTTCCTCAAGGAGAGTTGTGAGCAGAAAAATTTTGAAGAAACAATGGCCAAAATTTTCTAAAGATGATGAAAACTATAAACCCATGGATTGAAGTGCCTCAATGAACCTCATACACATGCAGAAAGTGCACCCAGGCACATGTATACCAAAGCACATCAAAAGTAAATTGCTTGCAATCAGTGATGAACAAAAAAATCTTAAAAGCAGCCAGAGAAAAAAATACATGTTGGATACAATGGGAAAAAAGATAAATATGACAGCAGGTTCTTGAAGGAAACAGTGCAAACAAGAGCACATTAGAGCAACATTATAAAGTACTTTTTAAAAAATTGTCAACCTAGAATTCTATACCCAGAGAAAAAAATTTTTAAAAGCAAATTAGAGATTTTCAGACATATAAGAGGCAGAAAAACATCATTGCCAGGAGTCCACACTATAAGAAATTTTAAAGGAAATTCTTCATAAAGAAGGAAAATTATACCAGTTGGAAATATGCATAAACTAATGGCATGCACCAAAACATAACCTAATGGATAAATATATATTATTTTTTAGCATGTAAGTCATTTTAAACATAATTGTCCGTTTAAAGAAAATAATGACATTTACTTTAGGGGTTTTAACATGTACATAAGTAAAATATATGAGTAATACTGCATTAAGGGAAAAATGAAAGTATTTTGTTGTATGATTTTTATCCTATATATGAAGTAATGTAGTATCAGTTGAAGATAGGCTGTGATAAGCTAAAGCTGTATAATAGTGACCCTAAAGCAACCACTAAAATAACAAGATTATACCAAATAGATGAACAAAGGAGATGATGTTGGTTTTTTAAATTAAGAAAGAGGCAGAAAAGGAGAAAGAGCAAGCAATAGATGGGACAAAACTTAATATATAAGTAATCACATTATTCGTCAGTGGTCTAAGCCACCCTGATTAAAAAGGAGAGACTCTCAAATTGTATTTAGGGGGGAAGAAAAAGCAAGATACAAATATAAACTGCTTGCAGGAAACCTACATGAAATTTAAAGAAATAAACTTATGTACTCTGCTAATAGTAACCAAAAGAAAGCTAGAGAGTAACTATATGAACATAGAACAAAACAGATTGTGGAACAAGGAATATTACTGGGAATAAGGGAGATCATTTTATAATGAGGACAGGACACTGCTAAACAGTGTTAACTCTGTTTTTTATGTACTTAAAAGACAGACGTAAAATACATGAAGCAAAAACAGATATAACTTCAAATAGAAGCCAACCAATCCACAATTATACTTGATTTTATTAGCATATTCTCAATGGTTAATAGAATAAGGACAATCTAAGGACATAGAACACTTAAAAATTACTATCAACCAATTTGATATAATTTCCCTTATGAGACTACTTAAGAGGGAAAAAAGGGATAACCTAAATAGCTTTATATCTGTTAAGAAAATTGAATTTGTGGCTCTGGGGGATTTGTGCATGGTAAGAAGCTGTGCGACAGCACAATGAGGTACCTTTGATGAAATTATGACCAGGTGGGCACGAGTTAATACCACATATAACAAAAGACCCTTGCCTGCAACATCATGGGAGGACATGAAGAAGGGATCCTTTGAGGGAACAAGCCAAAACCTACCAAAGCATAAACAACTTGAAGCCAATAGCTATCCCTTAAAAATGATGCACCCCAATCAAAACATAAAATGAACAAAAAGAAAAAAAGAGTACTTAAATCAAGATGTGAATGGATTCATGGAATACCTAAGACAGAATTCACAGATGGTTCACAATGGGCAAATTATAGCAACAGATAGGAAGTAAGGGAAGAAATTGCAGTTGCTTTAAAGAAAGACAGTCAATGGGAAGGAAGAAGATTAAAAAGACAAGTGGCAAAGAAAAATGCAGTGGTGTTTCTATTGTAGAAAACCTGGTCATGGAATTGCAGATTGCCCTGCACCCTTGAAAATCAACATACTGGAGTATGTTACAGGTGTGGGTCCACAGAGCACGAAATAACCAAGTGTAAGGCTAAAGTAGATCCGGCTCTTGGTGAATTTCCTTTCACAAAATGTTTTGTTTGTGGAGAAATGGGGCACCTCTCTAGAGCTTGTCCTGATAATCCCAAAGGACTCTATGCTGATGGTGGTGGTTGCAAACTTTGTGGCTCTGTGAAACATTTAAAGAAAGATTGCCTGGAAAATCAGAATTCAGATCGAATGGTCACAGTTGGTCACTGGGCAAAGGGAATGAGTACAGATTATGAAGAAATTTTGGATGCACCTAAACCACAAAAACCCAAAACAAAAATACCTAAAGTTGTTAATTTTTGATAACAACTAGCACTGTCATTTACCACCTCATTTTTACCTTCTAAACCAGGCTCACTTAACAAGTTAGAGTTGGGCTCCCCTGTAGTCAGGACTATACTGTAGATAGCAGTATGATCTGAGTGTGGTCAAAAACAATTTTCTTTATTCTGTTCATCAAATAGTACTTCTACCACTGTTTGGAAAAAATTGAAGAAAAGAATAAGATGGTTAAATGGATTCTCTAAAAGAACATATTTTAAGAGACAGAACTTAGGCATAAATAAGTGGTTGTATACCTAATTGTAACAATCATCCTTTATAAAAGCAAAATTATGCATAAATGTGAAACGCCCCTAAACAAAGGGTACAGATGAACCATCGGTGATACTGCTTTCTTGGCTCAGAGTATCAATTTATTATTATAATAGAAAGGTACAAGTTGCTAGAAAGTCTGTATTTTTAAGATATGGAATAAAAATGCATTTTCTATTTAAAAAAAAATTGAATTTGTAGTTAAAAAGCTTTCTCATAAAGAAAACTCAAAGCCCAGAGGCATCACTGGTAAATTCTACGAAACACTTAAGGAAGAAATACTGTATTTTCCACATAAAGTCTTCCAGAAAATAATAGAAAATACCAATTCATTGCATGATGCCAGTAATACCCCAATATGAAAACCAAAGAGAAAAGAAATTGATATCCCTCATGAATTTACATGAAAAAATTATAAACAAACTTTTAGCAAATCAACTGGAACAATATTATAGAAACAATATTTCCTTACTTATTGACATATATTACAGGAATGCAAGTTTTAGCATTGGAGTTAACACAATTCAGCATGTTAATAAGCTAAAAAGTAATCATATGTTCATCTCAATAGGTGTACATTTATTTATTTATTGATTTATTTTAATGGTTCTCAACTTTATTTTTAATTTTTTAAAATTTTTTATTGCATTTTAGGTTTTGGGGTACATGTGCAGAACATGCAAGACAGTTGCATAGGTACACACATGGCAGTGTGTCTTGCTTCCTTTCTCCCCTTCACCCACATTTGGCATTTCTCCCCAGGCTATCCCTCCCCACCATCCCCTCCCACTGGCCCTCCCCTTTTCCCACCAATAGACCCCAGTGGTTAGTACTCCCCTCTCTGTGTCCATGTGTTCTCATTTTTCATCACCCACCTATGAGTGGGAATATGCGGTGTTTCATTTTCTGTTCTTGTGTCAGTTTGCTGAAAATGATGTTCTCCAGATTCATCCATGTCCCTATAAACGACACAAACTCAATCATTTTTGATTGCTGCATAATAATCCATGGTGTATATGTGCCACATTTTCCCAATCCAGTCTATCATCATTGGGCATTTGGGTTGATTCCAGGTCTTTGCTATTGTAAACAGTGCAGCAATGAACATTCGTGTGCATGTGTCCTTATAGTAGAACGATTTATAGTCCTTTGGATTTATAGTAATGGGATTGCTGGGTTAAATGGAATTTCTATTTCTAAGGCCTTGAGGAATCGCCACACTGTCTTCCACAATGGTTGAACTAATTTACACTCCCACCAACAGTGTAAAAGTGTTCCTTTTTCTCCACATCCTCTCCAGCATCTGTTGTCTCCAGATTTTTTAATGATCGCCATTCTAACTGGCGTGAGATGGTATCTCAATGTGGTTTTGATTTGCATCTCTCTGATGAACAGCGACGATGAGCATTTTTTCATATGATTGTTGGCCTCATATATGTCTTCTTTCATAAAGTGTCTGTTCATATCCATTGCCCATTTTTGAATGGGCTTGTTTGTTTTTTTCCTGTAAATCTGTTTGAGTTCTTTGTAAATTCTGGATATCAGCCCTTTGTCAGATGGGTAAACCGCAAATAATTTTTCCCATTCTGTTGGTTGCCGATCCACTCTAGTGACTGTTTCTTTTGCCGTGCAGAAGCTGTGGAGTTTGATTAGGTCCCATTTGTCTATTTTGGCTTTTGTTGCCAATGCTTTTGGTGTTTTGTTCAGGAAGTCCTTGCCTACTCCTATGTCCTGGATGGTTTTGCCTAGATTTCCTTCTAGGGTTTTTATGGTGCCAGGTCTTATGTTGAAGTCTTTAATCCATCTGGAGTTAATTTTAGTGTAAGGTGTCAGGAAGTGGTCCAGTTTCTGCTTTCTGCACATGGCTAGCCAATTTTCCCAACACCATTTGTTAAACAGGGAATCCTTTCCCCATTGCTTGTTTTTGTCAGGTTTATCAAAGATTGTATGGTTGTAGATACGTTGTGTTGCCTCCGATACCTCTGTTTTGTTCCATTGGTCTATATCTCTGTTTTGGTACCAGCACCATGCTGTTTTGATTACTGTAGCCTTGTAGTATAGTTTGAAATCCGGTAGTGTGATGCCCCCTGCTGTGTTCTTTTTGCTTAGAATTGACTTGGCTATGCGGGCTCTCTTTTGGTTCCATATGAAGTTCATGGTGGTTTTTTCCAGTTCTGTGAAGAAAGTCAATGGTAGCTTGATGGGGATAGCGTTGATTCTGTAAATTACTTTGGGCAGTATAGCCATTTTCACAATATTAATTCTTCCTACCCATGAATATGGAATGTTTCTTTATCTGTTTGTGTCCTCTCTTATTTCGTTGAGCCGTGGTTTGTAGTTTTACTTGAAGAGGTCCCTTACGTTCCTTGTGAGTTGTATTCCTATGTATTTTATTGTTTTTGTAGCAATTGTGAATGGCAGTTCGTTCTTGATTTGGCTCTCTTTAAGTCTGTTATTGCTGTAGAGCAATGCTTGTGATTTTTGCACATTGATTTTGTATCCTGAGACTTTGCTGAAGTTGCTTATCAGTTTCAGGAGTTTTTGGGCTGAGGTGATGGGGTCTTCTAGGTATACTATCATGTCGTCTGCAAATAGAGACAATTTGTCTTCCACCTTTCCTATTTGAATACCCTTTATTTCTTTTTCTTGCCTGATTGCTCTGGCGCACTATATTGAATAGGAATGGTGAAAGAGGGCATCCTTGTCTAGTGCCGGATTTCAAAGGGAATGCTTCCAATTTTTGCCCATTCAGTGTGATATTGGCTGTTGGTTTGTCATAAGTAGCTTTTATTACTTTGAGATACGTTCCATGAATACTGAGTTTATTGAGGGTTTTTAGCATAAAGGGCAGTTGAATTTTGTCAAATGCCTTCTCTGCGTCAATTGAGATAATCATGTGGTTTTTGTTTTTGGTTCTGTTTATGTGGTGAATTACGTTGATAGACTTGCATATGTTGAACCAGCCTTGCATCCCCGGGATGAATCCTACTTGATCATGATGGATAAGTTTTTTGATTTGCTGTTGCAATCGGCTTGCCAATATTTTATTGAAGATTTTTGCATCTATGTTCATCATGGATATTGGCCTGAAGTTTTCTTTTCTCGTTGGGTCTCTGCCGGGTTTTGGTATCAGGATGATATTGGTCTCATAAAATGATTTGGGAAGGATTCCCTCTTTTTGGATTATTTGGAATAGTTTCAGAAGGAATGGTACCAGCTCCTCTTTGTGTGTCTGGTAGAATTCGGCTGTGAACCCATCTGGACCTGGGCTTTATTTGTGTGGTAGGCTCTTAATTGCTGCCTCGACTTCTGACCTTGTTATTGGTCTATTCATAGTTACAGCTTCCTCCTGGTTTAGGCTTCGGAGGACACAGGAGTCCAGGAATTTATTCATTTCTTCCAGGTTTACTAGTTTATGTGCATAGAGTTGTTTGTAATATTCTCTGATGATGGTTTAAATGTCTGTGGAATCTGTGGTGATTTCCCCTTTATTATTTTTTTATTGCATCTATTTGGTTGTTCTCTCTTTTCTTTTAAATCTATCTGGCTAGTGTTCTATTTTGTTGATCTTTTCAAAAAACCAGCTCTTGGATTTATTGATTTTTTGAAGGGTTTTTCATGTCTCAGTCTTCTTCAGTTCAGCTCTGATCTTAGTTATTTCTTGTCTTCTGCTGGGTTTTGAGTTTTTTTGATCTTGCTCCTCTAGCTCTTTCAATTTTGACGATAGGTTGTCAATTTTGGATCTCTCCATTCTCCTTATATGGGCACTTATTGCTATATACTTTCCTCTAGAGACTGCTTTAAATGTGTCCCAGAGATTCTGGCATGTTGTGTCTTCGTTCTCATTGGTTTTGAAGAACTTCTTTATTTCTGCCTTCATTTCATTGTTTATCCAGTCAACATCCAAGAACCAGTTGTTCAGTTTCCATGAAGCTGTGCGGTTCTGGGTCTGTTTCTGAATTCTGAGTTCTAACTTGATTGCACTGTGGTCTGAGAGGTTGTTTGTTATGACTTCAGTTGTTTTGCATTTGCTGAGCGTGCTTTACTTCCAATTATGAGGTCAATTTTGGAGTAGGTGTGATGTGGTGCTGAGAAGAATGTATATTCTGTGGATTTGGGGTGGAGAGTTCTGTAAATGTCTATCAGGTTTGCTTGTTCCAGGTCTGAGTTCAAGCCCTGGATATCCTTGTTGATTTTCTGTGTGGTTGATCTGTCTAATATTGACAGTGGAGTGTTAAAGTCTCCCACTATTATTGTGTGGGAGTCTAAGACTTTTTGTAGGTCATTAAGAACTTGCCTTATGTATCTGGGTGCTCCTGTATTAGGTCCATATATGTTTAGGATCGTTAGCTCTTCTTGTTGTATTGATCCTTTTAGCATTATGTAATGGCCTTCTTTGTCTCTTTTGATCTTTGTTGCTTTAAAGTCTATATTATCAGAGATGAGAATTGCAACTCCTGCTTTTTTTTGCTTTCCATTTGCTTGGTAAATCTTCCTCCATCCCTTTATTTTGAGCCTTTGTGTATTCTTGCATGTGAGATGGGTTTCCTGGATACAGAACACTGATGGGTTTTGGATTTTTATCCAACTTGCCAGTCTGTGTCTTTTGATTGGTGCGTTTTAGTCCATTTCCATTTAGGATTAATATTGTTATGTGTGAATTTGATACTGCCATTTTGATGCTAGCTGGGTGTTTTGCTTGTTAGTTGTAGATTCTTCATTGTGTTGATGCTCTTTAGCATTTAGTGTGATTTTGGAATGGCTGGTACTGGTTATTCCTTTCTATGTGTAGTGCCTCTTTCAGGAGCTCTTGTAAAGCAGGCCTGGTGGTGACAAAATCTCTGAGTACTTGCTTGTTCACAAAGGATTTTATTTTTCCTTCACTTCTGAAGCTCAGTTTGGCTGGATATGAAATTCTGGGTTGAAAGTTCTTTTCTTTAAGGATGTTGAATATTGGCCCCCACTCTCTTCTGGCTTGTAGTGTTTCTGCCGAGAGATCTGCTGTGAGTCTGATGGGCTTTTCTTTGTGGGTGACCCGACCTTTCTCTCTGGCTGCCCTTAGCATTTTCTTCTTTATTTCAACCTTGTTGAATCTGACGATTATGTGCCTTGGGGTTGCTCTTCTTGCGGAATATCTTTGTGGTGTTCTCTGTATTTCCTGCATTTGAGTGGTGGCCTG